GAGAGAGAGAGACAGAGAGAGAAACGGGGACGTTATTGCCGTCAACGCCGAGAGAAGGAAATCGTTAAATCACGTCATACGGCGGCGGCGTCGATCGACGTTCGGAAATTGTTTAAGCAAATAATCGCGAACACGCCGGCCGATCAATTTTACGGGCAAATACGTTTCACGGTGCAACGTTAATGAATTAATGCCGCGGCGCGTTCGCGCGGGTCCGCGCCTGCAGCCAGCCGCGCTCGTTCTCTCGCGCGTTCGTCGGGGTAAACGTTGAAACGGCCGGCAATTAATTACGGCCGCGCGGTAATTGTATAATTGTTTTACGATTGGAGCCGGCCTCCTCCTCCCCCCCTGCTCTCGCCTCTCGTCGCGACCGTATCCAGATATTGCGCCCGATCTGCTCGCCCAAAATACAAACGATCGGTACATTATGAACGTCGTTCCTGAGGGGACGAAAAACGCATCTGAGAAATAAGGGATGCGGGTGAGAGGGTGGGGGAGAGGGGGGTATGTGTCACGTGGACGTTCGGAATTCTTTTTTTCTCTTTTCACGATCTCGGCCGGTGAAACGCGCGTGACGCTTTCCATAACGCAATTAATAAACAAGCGAGATCCGATCGCGATAGCGGGCGCGAAACACGCGTTTTGGAAGCGCGACGCACAATGGATCCGGCTCGTGTGAGAGTGTGTATCGTCGCTCGATACGCATTTACATTGTCTCCATAAAATTAAAACGAGAGAAAAAAATTTCCCGATAGACCGGAAATAGAGAACGAAGGAAAAGATTCTGCGTTTAACCGCGTGAGCATCGTGACGAGTCGAATCGCGAGTTTTACCGAGTTTACGTCCATATTGTCGATCGGATTGTAAGACGAGACGCGAGTCGTCTGTCAATTTGCAGAAATTGAAATAGCTAAACGGGGGATTCTAATCATTCGACGCATCGATCGCGGAGGTATCATTAATCAAATTGACCCGGCGTAATTTATATTACGTGATCTAATGCATATCGAATTGTTTATTAGCGCGCGAACTAAGTCAATTATCCGGTCGGTTTGGGCGTTTGGGCGAATGTGTAACGAGCATCGGCTCGAATACGACCGAATTTAATGTCAATAAATTTCCGTTCTTTTCTTCGTTCGAAACATCTAGATGTAACGCGTTCGCGCGCAGTGTCCGCGCGCGGTCGAACAATGAACTCGATTCATCGGCGACGCTCGCCCGTTATAACTAATGCATTACGACGACTGGCGTAATCGTTCGGTCGTCGTTTAACGGATAGAGGCGTCTCGGTGGTGGTATGCGCAAATTTCGGGTAGCTGCTCTCGAAGAGCATGCGACATGCATACACGTGCGGAAAAGAGGGTGGGAGAGAGGGAGAAGGGAGGGTGGGAAGCGTGTCGCCCTCGTTGGGTGGCTGGATGGGTGGTGGTTGGTTGGTCGGTCGGGTGGATGGGGGGAGGGGTGGGGGTTCGGCCGAACGAGCCGCGGCTTGAAACGATGGTGTACTGCCAAGCGAATGCTCATAAAAGCATTGATTAACTGTTGGCGGTCGTAGGTCAGCCGGCACACGGCTGGCCCGTGTACCAATAAAACCTGGCTAATAGTGGCCCGACATCGCTTCAATATCATGCGTCGACCATCCCAAACGTTGCCGCGCGTTGTCGCGCCCGCGACAATTTTCATTGCTCAAAAACAGCGGCGTAAAAGTCGTTCACCGGCGGTCAAGGTGCAGCTCGCTCCCGATGAAGCCGAAATACGCGCTTCTCGAAACGGCCAATTAGATGATACTTCGAATTGGAACGTCGGCGAAACGAATGTTTCCTAGAGGCTCGTAGACCCCGAGGAAACGTCCAAGGACACGTGCATCTACTTCTACTGTTAGCTCGAAGATGCGATCCGGCATGCTCGTAGAAGTTGCCTTACGCATTTCCGGGAGTCGCGCATCTACAAGATTTTAATTGCTGCCGGCGCGCATGAGTACTTAATGAGCAGTTATGTTTTGTTGATGGTTTGATAGGGAGAATAGATTACTATGAACGGGTATCTCTCTTTTGATGACGGCGTTACTTGTATATTCATAATTAGATATTATCAATGGTTGGTGGAGGACTTAATAACTGGCGTTATTGCTAATTTGCTTAGTAATTACGAGCTAATGTTTAAAATAGTCGTGATTATGTAATTAAAACCGACCGTTTTTTTTATATGAAGTTGTAGTTTTGTGCTAATTCTTAAATTAAGTCCATCTTTAATGTAATATTTACGAACGCGGAGTGTGTTTTACATGCCAGAAAAGAAGAACTGAAATCGCCTTAGATATAGACGCGACGATCGAAGCATTAAATATCGGAAATAATTCATTACAAATTTATGTAAAAGTGTTAAGTAACGTATTACAAATTTATGGCCATTGTCGAACGTATTCCGTGTGTTTGTGTAAGACTATATTCAGTCCTTCTAATCATCGAAGCCCACAAAGTTGCGGTCGATGATTCCAATCAAATAGCCGCGCAAGATAATTAACGAATTAGACAAACGACAATTGCGAGACACGAGTGTGCGTATTTTGCGTTGACATTTTTTGTCGGTTATCCACATTTTACGGGAACACATATCGGAATTCGAGAGCCATTGAAATACCCTGGAATTTTCATTCCGCGGTCCGCAATTATATTCGCGCCGTCGAGATGTGAAATAATCACTATGGTGAACACATCAACGGTACCATTATCCATGTAGACTATGATCACGTTTCGTACTCGAGTGAAGTGATTTATGAAATGATTTTTGAAATTGGCTCGTTAATAAATTATTGCGAGCGCGTGCTCAAGATTTTTATAGTCAACTCAAAAATGAGCGGAAGAAAAAAAAATAAAGGAGAGTTTCGAGAAATAATCTCGACGCTGGTTCTATCATTTTTTGCCTTTACATCGAGCCAGAAACGTTTCGGTCGATTTTCTACCCCTCATCAGTTACAATCAAGGTTTACTATACTTTTTTTTTTTGGCGACCAGAGCGATGTGGCTGCGCTTGATTGTTTTTTACGAGAGGAAACAAGTGGACGCGCACAATGCGACGAAAAAGCTGCCCACATCTCGACAAGGGCTGCGAAGGGAAACGTAAGAAGGCGCCGCGTTAATCGAAGTAACAAAAGCACCGGCGTATGATGAAAGCCTCCTTCATTTTTGCAGTCCGTCTTTACCGCGCGCCGCGTGACCGTAAATCAATCGCGTCGAGAATTTTCGCGTTTCATCGGTTTTTGCATCGCGGGAGAAAGAGCCCGCGTATGACCGGCGCCGCAAATGAAGACATCAACGAGAGAGGGCAAAAAAGTCAAGTGGTCGTGGTCATGCGCACGCGACGGAAATAAAAAGAGAGAGAGAGAGAGAGACTACGAGATTTTATAGTATATGAAAGATGAAAGGAGAAAAAAAATGTTATTAATAAATGTTATAATAAATTATTGATATACACTTTTATATCCGTGCTTCCCGCGATCACGTGTCGCAGGGATACGTTTGCGTGAATGCGAAGGGGAACGTTCTCGCTCGAGTCTCATCTCTGATTATGTCCCGCTTTCCTTCACGGCGCCGAGAATATGTGGCTGAAGTTGGCGGGAACGGCGTATCGCATCGGCACGTCGTAGAAACACGCCGGTCTCGTCGCGGGGGACGCGTTCGCGGGAACGTTTCGCACGACCTGTCGGTGCCGCGCGAGAAAATAAAGGAGCAGTCGGCGGACACGAGTGCGCACACGTGTGCACGTACACGCGTCGCGCGTAACGCACACCATGAAACCACGATGGTGGTGCCGGCCGTGTGCCAGAGGGCCGCGGCCATAAAATCCGTGCCGCCTCTCAAAGCCCTCGCGAGGCACGACGGAATTTTAGTACGACTTAATTACGACGGTCCTCGCGCTCTCCGCGCTGTCGTCCTTTTTATTCCATGAAAAGTCCC